GGGAATTAAAAAAAAAAAAGAAAAGAAAATTATCATTATTATTATCTCGTGGATACAGAATAGCAAACGGGCGGCACTATCGAATTATTATTATCTCGTGGATAGAGAATTAAAAATTTTCTAATTTATGTAACTAATTGTAATTGGTATAAATAAATGTTTGTTTTGTTTTGTTGTTGTAAGCGAAGCGAGCGCTAAGCGAGTGCCAGGCGAGGCGAGTGCCAAAATTATCATTATTATGGAATTTAAAAAAAGAAGAAAAAGAAAATTATCATTATTATTATCTCGTGGATACAGAATTGGGGAGGAAATTAAAAAAAAAAAAAAAAGAAGAAGAAAATTATCATTATTATGGAATTTTAAAAAAAAAAAAAGAAGAAAATTATCATTATTATGGAATAAAAAAATTAAAAAAAAGAAGAAAATTATCATTATTATTATCTCGTGGATACAGAATTGGGGAGGGAATTAAAAAAAAAGAAAAGAAGAAAATTATCATTATTATGGAATAAAAAAAAAAGAAAAAAAAAAGAAGAAAATTATCATTATTGATTATCTCGTGGATACAGAATTGGGGAGGGAATTAAAAAAAAAAAAATAAATAAAAAAAATTATCATTATTATTATCTCGTGGATACAGAATTGCAAACGGGCAGTCCGTAACGGGCGGCACTATCGAATTATTGTTATTATTATCTCGTGGATAGAGAATTAAAAAAAAAAGAAAATTATCATTATTATTATCTCGTGGATACAGAATTGCAACGGGCAGTCCGTAACGGGTGGCACTATCGAATTATTATTATCTCGTGGATAGAGAATTAGAAACGTAAATTATCGGGGAGCCAAAGTCGACGCAACGATGTAAGCTATTAAAAACCGGACAGAATAATATTACATGTTGGGACGAATGACAGCTAAGCGAGGCGAGTGCCAAGCGAGGCGATTGCTAAGCGAGGCGAGTACTAAGCGAGGCGAGTGCCAAGCGAGGCGAGTGCCAAGCGAGGCGAGTGCCAAGCGAGCCATAAAATAAAAGAAATAGAACAAATACTGTTGAGCTCGGCATTGAACGCGGACGAGGCGTTGTCTGGTATGCATAAGTCCATACGACCAACAACGAAGGCATATGGCACATATCGAAAAAAGGCAATGACCAAATTACGTGATCTGCCATGTGGCTCCAGAAAAAAATAACAAAGATAAATTGGAAACAGTTAGAAAATGAAAAAAAGAATGAGTACGACGATGTCGAGTGGTCATGGAACAATTTCCCGATCATGGTTTGGAGAATGAAATAATACCACCAGGTTCATCCGGCCATACTCCGGCGGTGGAGGAACTATGGTATACTGATAATCCCAAAAAAAACCCAGTAAAAAACGATTGCATGGAACAATTTTGAAAAAGTAAAAGCTGAAAATACGGAAGAAGAATGAAAATCAACATGAACATAGGACGAACAACGGACATACGAGCGGTATCAATATTAGAGAGATGCGGTGCAATGACAACGAAATCTGTCCCGTCTGTGGGCCAGATTTTACACAAAGGCAAAGAGCAAGTTTACCGCTGCCTGAACTTTAGGTAAGTCGTCTGTAATAAGTTCTTTAATAATTATAACTTGCAAGAGCTCCGACATTTCAATTGAAGAATTGTTGGTAAAGGGGATTTCGGATCACATTTCACATGTAAAAAATAGCCATTTCACAAAAATCAAAATTACATTTTAACAGTGTAAATTTTATTTTCATGCACTATTGTTGATAGAATCAAACCAGATGTTCTCTTGCGAGCGAATTGGCAATATTGCGACGCAATACAAGATTTATAATTTTTTATTGGCAAAATAACGATCGCCTGTTATTCAACTTTTTATGAGGGCTTATACACAGGCGGGATTATATACTTGGGGGAGGGGGGCTCACTATATATTCGGAGGTTTATAGTATATTGCAGGCTAGTCAGAACAAATTCACCTTTCACATTATAATAAAAAATTATAACTGACGAAAAATTTGAGACTCACTTGTCCTGAATGGCGGATAGATTGATCTATAAAGGCCTGTTCATATATGAGCCAACTCAGCCAAGTCCGGCTCTCTTTGTCATGCCAAGTTGCTTTTTGTTTCACATGAGGCAGGCTAACCCGGCAAGTGACATGGCTAAATTCCAGCTTAACACTGAAATAGTTTTTCAAAACGAACACATGCAGTACAATTGTTACATCCACAGTATTGCTCTTCTTGCACGTTCTCATCACTCAGCGATTGACTGTACATTAAACAACAACGCTAATCAACATGATTAATTTTAATTCATTATCTTAGAAAAAGGATTTAATGTCAATCAAATGGCACAACTTGGGACTCTTTATTCATTTCATCAAGGGACCCATATTCTGAAAGATTCTCATAACTTGTTGAAAATTTAATATTTCGTGAAGTGTCCAGCTTTAGGGGTGGGTGGCAAGGGGGTAACTGGGTTATTGACCCCCTGATAAGCTAATAAGATTCTAAGATGTTAAAATAAAAATTATTAACGGTAGCTGATTGGCTTTGTAATTCAGTTTCAGGGGTGCACTGAAGTTACCAGGTTGCTCTTTGTCTAGGTTTCCATTTCAATCCAAAACTAATTATAAAAGCATAGCTGGAAGCAAAACTCGGTCCTCACAAGAAATGAGAATATGTGTAGTTCATTTACTGATAAGCATCAATCAAGTATCTGAATACATCATATTACTGACATCATTTTAATTACCTGAACTATCGGCTCTGGTGCACCCCTTATTCCGCTTTAGCAATGTTTTCTACAATCATGAAAACATTACACGCTATCATGAGAGTCTGCACTGTATTATGTCATGCTGAGAAAGCATGCCAAGAAATCACGCAATTTTGGCAAAAACATTAACAGCTACTTGATGCCATGCATGTATGTTTCTATTTAGCTTCAAATATTTGCAACCCAAAATGGCAGAAGTCAAACAATTATGTCGAATTATGTGTTGTAGCATCGCTTGCAAGGGCTGAATATGTTTATTGAATGTTACATCACAGCGGGTGGTTGTATTTCAACAAAAGATCTCGTTATCTTTCACTGAATTTGGTGCAAACATGGCCACCATTTTATTGTTTTAATTCCCGAAGACATGGGTACACATTTGCAGAAGATTATCAGACGAATCAGATGGATTTTAGACGATTATCATGCAGACAGAAAATATTAAGACTTCTATCGAATTTAACCAACTACTAAGTCTAAGTGTATATTTATCTTTTACGCTAGAGAAGATTGTTTTTGAAATGTGTTGTAAGAGGCCCACCAAGGGTGAGCTGCTTTGTCGCCTGTTTTATTGTAATAAATGTCGCTGTAAATATTAAGTCATTACTGATTTCAGAAATACAGTCATTCTATAAGCCTGGCTTATTCGCAACTCACGTGAACAAGTCATGATCAACATGCATGTGAACAAGTCATGAATACCAACGTGAAATGGTCTAAATCTATATTGCTTTGTGCGCTGTATGCAAACCAGTCTTTATTGGTTGTAGAAAGAGATATATAGATTATATTACACAGGTGGCCATTAGGGATACTAAGAGAGAGGGGGCCTCCCCAAAAGTAGAAATGGATCGACGAGTAGAGCTCAATTTAGATAATTTAACATTCAATGCAGATTATTTATAGTTGACTTGCAACACGCACTACGGCACGAAAGTCTAGACATTTGTTGACGGCATTTCCAAGACTGCAGTTATAGAGATATTTCTCTATGAGAAGGCCAATGAAAACTATTTTGTACAGATACGAGATGTTTTGTATTCTCTGGCGAAGAACCTTTCCAACCTCGTACCAGGTTCTCAATCTTCGCTCCTACCTCGCTTGAATTGAGACCCTGGTATCGGCTGGTCACGTGACCCGTCATATTTTGGCGGATTTGCTCAACTGTTTCAGGGAAACAAAAGTAAGTAGATATTGTGGTAAACATTAATTGCTATTACTATACTGAGGAATGGGGAATCGGGGAAAGGAATCGGGGAACGGGGAATGCTAAAACCCGGAATACTAAAATGGGGAATCTCTAAAACCCGGAATACTAAAATGGAGAATCTCTAAAACCCCCATTCCTTGTTATAGTAATAGCCTAAAATGATTGGTTCAGTCTCCACGCAGATACTATTGCTATTTCCAAAACAAGAACGAGGAATCGGGGGAAAGGAATCGGGGAATGGAAACCCTGGAATATTAAAAGCTGGAATCTCTAAAACCCGGAATACTAAAACTGAAATTCTGAGCGGTTAATTCTGCTTTCATAGCAAATAGCAAAACAAACGTCCTAGAATTTGAAAGAGTAATCGTAGAATATTAAGCGCTGTAATTAAATCTGAAATATTAGCGGCGAATCCAGCCTGAATATATGTTTAAAATTTCGGTTTACCAAGGCTCGGGTTAATGGTCTGCTCTATAACGTAGAAGGCGCGTAAAAATCTTGCAATACGACAATGAAACATCAGAAAATCAGAAATTACACAACTGATGGTGAAATATGTGTCACAACCAGCTTGGCCCACCAAGAGCAACAGCTAGAACAAGACTCAGTTCTGCCCGGAAATGCATGTTAACCGATTATTTGTATTTAATTTAGTGGTAGCTTTTATGTATAACACAAAGCTGACATCAAAAACGTTTGTCTAATTGAAAGATACCCGCGTTACATTTTAACTTTTGTATCCTACTTGATGTTGGTATTTGACATGCATGTTAGATTTTAAAACTGGGTCGGAAGCCTGAACACAAGAATCGATATACAAATGCATTGAAATACACATTTATAGATTAACATTTTTGAAAAACTTACAATACATCATCACAAGGTCTGAAGCCATCAACACAGCACGCACTATACGATCAACAACAAAAAATATATACGACTATTTGAAAGATACTGTGTACTATCGTGGAGGTTTAAGATGTAATACAACTTACACGAGTACGGGTGCATGATAATGAAAGAAGTAGGCCTATATAGCAGACCATGTTAGACGAAGCTAATCCAAATGGTGCGACAACGGGCAAGCTGAAAATTTGCATGGTCGCGGTACCAAGCCAAGGAACCCGTTTGTGATTTACTTTCATTCCCTCCGCGTTCAAGTAATTTTCCTGCATGTCTGTGTCGAATCACTCTCAGAGTAGCCTGCATGTATTTAGCGCTAAAATCTAGAACACAATTTAGCCGAGTTCCGTTCCTATATTCATTCCTATATTATTCGTACCACCAATTTTAGCGCGTTGTACTGTGTGTGTATTGTGCCGCGTAAAATACTCAAAGTCGTCGTTCACATTAGCCTGCGCGTAAACTATATGATGTTTATTATATCGCGCATCAGAATGAATAATCCTCAACAGCATTCTGTGTCAACAGCATGTACGCAAATTCGTCATCGAAGGTGTTGGTGAAACCGGTTGGTGGGTTCAGGTTTGAAGGGAGTTTGACAAATGGTCGAGGGTCGAGGGTAATAGGTCGAGGGCGAGGGTAGAATGTCGAGGGTAAAAAAAAATGTCGAGGGTCGAAAAAAATGTCGAGGGTCAATTTTTTGACTCTATACCGCAAATTTTTAGTAACAGAATCAAATACTTACCATTACACATACGTATCACAATTAATTAACTTGCTTTAGCCCAACGTCAATGTTTTAGCCCTATTATGGAATTTGCCACGGCGCAGAGTAAGTATGCCGAGAAGTATGCTTCGTTATTAAACGCAAAGTCTAGTTTGAACAAACAGATATGTTTTATACGGCGATGTATACTAACGAATAAACTCTATTTTGATCCATATATTAACTATGTTTGATCATTATGAAGTTAACTGATCAAATTTCTATCGCTGCAGTCAAAAGGCACCGCTTCACATGCCATTTGATAAACATAACAAAAAACTTATTTCTATATATACTAAATGTACATGATAAGTCTATCATGAAAATAATTTCAATATACTTTCATGATACTCTCGCAATGTACGATAGTCTTTTGTAGAATTTCTAGCTTTACTGTAATATTATAATACCCAATAGTTTATTAGATTTTATATTATATTATATATTAGAGTTAATCAATATTAGTACGCATGTCGCACTCCTAACCATGAACTATATGGTACGTACTTTATTGTTTAGTTTACAGTACATTAGGTACTTATATGTAAATGTTTTCATATATGCCTGTTTGGTATTTGTTGTTATTGAAATATATTATTATTATTAACATAACCCTTTGTGACCTTTGTGCATGCACTCATGATTTCAGCAATCATTACGATCCACTGCAAAAGCGATATATATAGTACTGTAGCTATATTTCCCGCATGATCTAGAAACCCACGACTAAACACTAATGTCGTATAAAATAATTTGTAAAGTGATTTTCTAACTATCAGCATTTTCTGCATCGTGGCAAACGTTGACAGACGGCCAATTGTCTTATGTACATGCCTACGGCCGAGCCTACGGCAGCGAACATCTTTCACAGATTATTTTCCGCTCAAGTTGTAATTTCTTGCGCCTATATGGCTCCTATCGTCTACGCGAATTTGATTACTGCGCGAATTTGAATACAAGTATTATTCCATGCATGGCTGGGGAATATAAAACCGGGGAATATTTCAACATTAATTTTAATTAATAGTGATATTTTTCTG